GATGCACTCTAAATCCTGACTGAAAATCCTCAAATAAACTGTTCTTATGGAGAAAGTCACACACAGCGTTGGCACCAGAATATCATTATTGGGGGGACCTGATTGTTAATAGGAGGTGCTAGTGAATTCTGACCCAACAAATGCCAACAAATAATACTATAATAGATATAGATTTACTGTTCCCAGGCTAATACACTACATATTGTGAAATGCACGTTACTAAATGTTTATCATAGAATAACACAAGCATATTTAACAACTTGTATTTAATGAATGAACAAATGCCAAACAACAAGCACAAACAAACAATAAAACTCATAGCCACCACAGAGAACATCTGTGGATTTACAAAAAGTGTAACTGTGAGAACTGTACTTTCCACTACTGTCTTCCTCTTTACTCCTGTCTTCCTCTCTCCTTCACTCTCCACTCCTGTCTTCTCCTCTTCCCCTCTCCCCCACTCTCCACTCCTGTCTTCTCCTCTCCACTCCTGTCTTCCTCTCTTCTTCTCCTCTGGGCTCTGTTGAAACTAACAACCAAACACACACACACCTCATTCTCCAGGTTTGTTGTCATCACTCTCTCCTCCTCCGCCCTAACGCTAAAAGGTCTGTCCATCCAATCATCGCCGCCATCGTCATCGTCCACTCTCACTCATTTCTTTGGTATGAGAAAACGGTCCATTACTCTCTACATACTTGCTAACTAGCAGCTATGGCACTACGCACGTACCAACCACTGCTAACTTGAATGTCAAATCTAGCGCGCCGTCTGCGTGCAAACCAGCCAATCAAATCGCACTACACAGGACAGGAGAAGCAAAAGTTCAAGGGGTCATCACCATAGGAACATTATAAACAATATAATTTCTTGTCTGATAGTTGTTAATGTTGTCTTAGTCAGACCATAAATATTTCGAGGGGAGGGGGGGCAAAGAGGGGGGCGCAGCCTTTGACAGGAGCTCCCCCTGGGAAGATTTGATTTCGGTCTGTGATTGGCTAAAACCTCTGGGTCTAGAGTGGGCTTTTTAAGAAAAGGTTGATTTACAGCTACAGATTAATTATATCATAAAGAAGGGATAACTATAGGTAGAACATCCTTGAGCAGCCTGGTTGGGATGGGGTCTAAGAGACAGGTTGACGGCTTTGATGAAGAAATTATTGGAGTTATTTGATGAAGGTCAATAGGAAAAACAGTCTAAATATATATTGGGTTTTACAGCTGTTTCCAAACTTGCTGTGTAAGAATGCAGAATTGCCCTCAGTGCCTGTTGAGGGCAAGGGGTGATGAATTTTGTCTCTAATAGTTATAATTTTATCACTAAAGAAGCTCATGAAGTCATTACTCCTTAGTCCTAAAAGAATAGATGGCTCAATAGAGCTGTGGCTCTCTGTTAGCCTGGCTACAGTGCTGAAGAGAAACCTGGGGTTGTTCTTATTTTCCTCTATTAATGATGAGTAATAGGCTGCTCTGGCATTATGGAGAGCCTTCCTGTATGTTTTAACATTATCTTGCCAGACTAAACGAGATTCTTTCAGTTTAGTGACACGCCATTTGCGTTCAAATTTATGTGCCTCTTGCTTTAAGTTGCGAGTCTGCTGGCTATCCCATGGTGCTAACCTCCTTTGTTAATTATCTTCTTTTTCAGAGGTGCAATAGAGTTGAGAGTTGTTTGTAATGAGCCTGTAGTACTGTCAACAAGATGATCTATTTGTGAGGGGGGAAGAGGGGGGAAGCAGACAATTCCTCTGCTACATTGAGACATGGCATTGAATTCAATACTGAAGGAATCACTTGCTTAAATTTGGCTACAGCACTATCAGATAAACATCTGCTGTAGGAGTTTCTGCCAAAAGGCTTATGGTCCAGTAATATGAACTCAAAGGTTATTAAAAATTTCAATGCCATATGAGATAACTAGATCAAGAGTGTGGTTCAGACAATGAGTCGGTTTATTTACACTCTGACAGAAGCCAATTGAATCTAATAAAGAGATAAACGCAGCACTAAGACTATCATTGTGGTTGTCCACGTGAATATTAAAATCACCTACAATAATTACTTCTGTTTTAAGGATCAAGCCTGATGCAAACTCCGCAAATTCAGATAAAAATTCTGAGGAATGACGAGGAGCTCGATATACTGTAACAAATAGAATTGGCTGTAATGTTTTCCAGGTTGGCTGAGTAAGGCTAAGAACAAGACTTTCAAATGAATTATAATTTAGTTTAGGCGTGGGATTTATTAAAACTTGAGTCAAATGTGGCTCCAACTCCACCACCTCAACCAGTGCTTTGAGGAATATTAGTATTACAATGACTGGGAGAAGTGGATTCATTTAAGCTAACATATTCATCCTCCTGCAGCCAGGTTTCAGTAAGACAAAATAAATCAATATCATAATCAGATATTAATTCATTGATTAAAACAGCTTTAGAGGACAAGGACCTGATATTCAAGAGTCCACATTTAATTCTCTTATTTTGGACTGCTGAAGGTGTTGATTTAATTTCTTTGTGATGAGCTCCTCGTCAGTTTGTTTTATCTTTAAATAATGTAGGTGGATTGGGGACAGACACCGTCATCATACTAAAGGACTGGGTCGGCAGCTGCTCTAATGGAAGCGCAGAGAAGCGTGTAAGACTGCAGCTCTGCTTCCTGGTCTCAACTCTGGGTTGTCACGGTTTTGGTCGACTAATAAACTTGGCCATATTTCTAGATATGAGAGCTGCTCCATCCAAAGTGGGATGCATGCCGTCTAATCAGAACAGGTTTTCCCCAGAAAGGTGTCCAGTTATCTATGAAGCCCACATCATTTGCTGGACACCACCTCCACAGCCAGCAGTTAAATGATGACATGCGGCTATACATATCATCAGTGGTCAGATTGGGCAGGGGTCCAGAGAAAACTACATCGTTTTTGCATATGCACACACCAATGAAAAATTAATTTTAGTGACCTCCGATTGGCGTAACCGGGTGTCATTACCGCCGACGTTAATAACAATCTTACTATATCTACGTTTATCCTTAGACAGCAGTTTCAAATTAGACTCGATGTTGCCCGCTCTGGCCCCCGGGATGCATTTAACTATGGCCCCCAGTGTCACTAACTTCACGTTTCGTAAAATGGAGCTGCCTATGACCCCCAGTTTGGAGCTATGCCTCTTTAAACAGTCACCCAGCCTCCTGGCTGCTCGGGGTTCGCTGGGGACGGGTAGCAGAAGCTACCTTCAGTGGTACCGCACCGGCTACAGGGGACTTGCTCACGATAGCAGCTACTGACTGTTCAGTGGTGTGGTACCATGCCTCTAAATCACTGAGCCTTACCTCCAAGGCAACAAATAAACTACATTTATTAGTACCATTATTGCTAAAGGAGGACAAGGAGTAGCTAAACATGTGGCACACTGGGCAGGAGAGAGCATGAGAGCAGAGAGAAGCCATTGCTATACATATTACGCTTACTGTAAAGCAGCGAGTCAGCGAGACATGGTTGCGACAAGTTTATGAACATATATTCACTCTTATTTGGCTAGCACCCCACACCAGACAGTATATGTATTTCGACAGAAATTAACCGAATACAATTTGAAAACAATTTCTATTGAATGCTCAGGTACTTATGGTCTACCAAGTGCATTGTACAAGCAAATTATTATTATCTAATTAAAGGTACAGTGTGTAGAATTTAGTGATATCTAGTGGTGAAATTGCATGTTGTAGCTGTATACCCCTCACCTCACCCTCACCCTCCCCTTCCAAACACGAAAGAGAACCTGTGGAAGCTTCAGTTGACATAAAAACTCAGAAGGTGTTTAGTTTGTCTGTGCTGGACTACTGTAAAAAAACATCTCCTCCGTAGAGAGGACCCCCTCGATGTAAATATAAAGTATTTAGATATGGGGCGGCCATGGCTCAGCGGTAGAGCAGGTCCCCACCGCCCCCCCAACATCTGCTCCCCGGGCGCTGGCAACAGCAGCCCACCGCTCCAGTATATGTGTGTACATGGAATCTGTCATGTGTGTTTCATCCAGGTGCCAACTGGATGGGTTAAATGCGGAGAACAATTTCATGTATGCATGTAAAAGTGTTAAAAGTGACAATAAAAGTATATCTTCTTCTTTAAGGGCCTGTTCTAGGGTAAAGAAAGTTACAATTCATACAATTTTGATGAAACACACTATCATGAGGGTTATTTTATATTCAATTTATGCCAATAGATCCCTTTCACCTAAATATTACACACTGAACCTTTAAATGATGTTTATCATGTTTAAATAGGCTTTTTTTCTCAGGATGTTGGAAGGGGCCACACTGGTGAAGACTTTAAATCACCATTTTATTGTTTGCCATCTAACTTCCTACATTGATTTGAAAGTCTGAATTGGCCAAAAAAGTCTGAGGCTCTGAAATAAAACAAGGTTGATGTGAAAAGCCCCACACTGGCTGTGGAAAGGCTGTGGAACAGTTTGCTTTTCCTGGCAATTTTTTTAAGCCTTTGGCGTGCAGGTCACAGCAGAATAGACAGTGAAACTGATCTTTCACAACAGTTTCAATGTTTATCTGTTGAATATATCACAAACATACATGTTTGCAACACTTCCTGTAAGCTACCCATTTTAAGATAAAAGCACTCCAGTGTTTCTGTTGACTGAATCCATCCAGTCATAGTCTCTCTCTCTCTCTCTCTCTCTCTCTCTCTCTCGCTTGCTTGCTCTCTCTATCAACCACTCTCTCTCACACATGCTCTCTTTCCCCACAGCAACAAAAAAAAACATCACTTGTAGCTAAAACAACATCAGGTAATGTGGAGGTACGCTGTCCTACAGAAAAGTAGTAAAAATAGATAATAAAGGTGTAACAAAAATATGTTGGACTTTAAAAAGTAACATTAAAAAGTAACATTAAAAAGTTAACTATAACATTATTCTGTGCCAATAATGATAAATGTATGTCTGATGAAGATAACAACCCTCTCCTGTCACTTGAACGTTAAGGTCCATCTTTTCGGGGCGTCCCTAGGAGGATTCTTGGCTCAGAAGTTTGCAGAGTGCACACACAAGTCTCCCCGAGTTCACTCACTGATCCTGTGTAATTCATTCAGCGACACCTCCATCTTTAACCAGATGTGGACAGCTAACAGGTTGTGCTTCATGACTACTTTGCACAAAGCACTTCTGCATGTTTAGATTCGTTAATATTTTATTTCCACATTCCTTCTCAGCTTTTGGTTGATGCCAGCTTTCATGTTGAAGAAGATTGTGCTGGGGAATTTTGCAAAAGGACCTGTGGATCCTAAAATGGCAGATGCAATTGACTTCATGGTTGACAGGGTAAGTGGAAATGAATGAGGTCTTGAACTAATGTACCACTATAGTTTACAGAAACATTAAGCTACATATGCATGACCCATGCAAAATGATATTCAGTCAGAACTGCAGAATATTTAATGTTTTACATGTTTATTTAAAGCTTTCATGCATCCTCATTACAAGTATTTGTTAATGTGTATGGACATTACAAACAGTTTTACCCATTTATACTGTATGTTTTTTTGTTGTACCCATTTGTACTGTATGTACTGTCAGTGAGATGAACAGAAACATACCAGAGGGATCCATCTGTTCAGTCCATGGCACTCAAACCTCCATCACGATGTCACTGGTGTGAGAGATCAGCTGGAGAACACAATGAATTCACCAGGCTCCTTGAAATCGAAACTTTAATAAGCACTTTTCACAAGTGAAAAAAATGTACTGCGTTCAAAAACATGTATATATATTTTTTTTTTTTTGACAGTCATAATAATAATTATTAGTGAAATTTTTAGCATTTAATGTCAAAAGAAAATGGCTGAAGCCAGCTGAATAAATGGATTGAGTGGCCAAACTGTATACAGAAATAGTGGAGGCTCCCTCAGGTCACCCCTACAAACAAAAGGCTCAAATGGTTTAGTCCAGGGGTGGGCCCCTGGTCCAGGGGATCAACAAGATAGTTTGATCAAATTTAATAAATATCAAAAAATAAATGGCGTGACCAAAACTCAGTTTAGTGCAACCGAAAAATTCCTTTGTCGTACCAGTGCGCCTAACATTAAGCTGGACTGTCTCTCATCTGGTCTCCTCTGAGTCAGGGAGCAAGGCGGAGTTTACACTCAAACAGGCCCTGGGCCGCCCCCACTCACCCACCCACACAGACAGACAACGAAGCAGAGATGAGAGAGAGGAGCTTGTGAAGATATACAAGGTGGTATATGTCAAACAGTGGCAACAAAAATTAAAGTTAAAGTTACAGGAAAGATCCAGATTCATGATCCAACACCAAATATAAACTAGGGCTGCGAAGCAGCATTGAGCGGGCCTCAGCACCTGCGAACTTGGGACCTGATGCAGTCGCCAGTGAGGGCGGTCGGTGACCGGACCTAACGGCTGTGTGTCGTGTGTGTTTTTTTGCGCACCATGGAAAGGATAAACGCTTCACTTCCTGCATCCATCATGCAACGCCAAACCATGCCCACACCATCAAGTGCAGAACTAAAGGTGAAAATTTTATATAAATCGAATTAATAATTTCAAAAGAGGCTTACTTCCTGTTGCCAGTAGGTGGGGCTATCATTATAGTTACATACAGACATTATACGACAATGGACAGTGGAGTTAAAAAAAAATCCTGTTTCACAGTGAATCAGTAGGTGGCGCTATGACCCTGACTTAATTTTGGCACATGGAGCTGTTCAGATAACTTTTCTGATCACAGGTTTTAATTTTGATGCCGATTGGACAATAGAGAGTGGAGTTAAAAAAAAAACTACATTTTCCTGCTGATCAGCAAATAGAGCTATGACCCTGAGTACATATTGAAATATTGAGCTGTTCAGGCCGTGACTGTGGTCATAGATTTGAATTTTGGTACGAATACAATCCACAGTAGAGTTAAATACAACTTCCTGTTTGATGGTGAATCAGTAGGTGGCACTATGACCCTGAGTTAATATTGACATATGGAGCTTTTTAGGCCTGGACTCTGGGAATTTGGGGGCTTTTTGGATAATTCACAGTGGTGTTAAAAACAACTCCATTTTCCCACTGATCAGCAGAGTGTTGTGTTTATTTGTTTTTATATGTATTTATTTTACTCACTCAGGCACACAAAATGAGGGAGAGGAAAAAAAGCGTTAATTGCCTCAGCATGGTTATCTGCTCTGTCCATCACTGCTTCAACCAGCATTGGTGTTGTGCGATTGTGCAGGTCTGTGCATGTGTCCCTGCACGTAATATAGGAAATAAGACCATCTCTCACATGGGTCATAGCTACACTATAGTGGCTGTGGCATCTAATTTATGGCTAAAAGATTTATATTTAGAGATTTCCTTCTATTTAAAACACGCACACTTAACATTTCATTGCTACTTAATACTACTAAATATTTTGATACTTTATCTTCACTGTCTGCAGTGTCCTTGTTTGGCTGTTCTCCAATTAACTCTCAATGGTTCACCTGGAGGTGCTTTGACGAGTAACCTCCACAGTAAGGTTATATGAGGCTTTAGTTACTATACCACACAGTGCAATGGGAAATAAAAACTCCTTGTTTTCAAGTTTTACATTTGAAATAAAAGTGCAAAAACTATAATAAATATCTATAAAATCTTGATGAGGATGGATTGACAAGTCCATCCCACATCCAATAATTGACTTGCTTCAGGATCGTAACCTGAAGGATATTGGATTGGATCTGTACCATCTCTAACTTTATGTAGTGAGTTTAAAGGGCATTTAGCAAAACATACAATGAAAAAAACGGAGAAGAACAATGGAGAAAGTTAAACACCATGCTAAAAACTTCAGTTTGTGATAAAATTCAGTGGCCTCTAATACTAATACTAATACTCTGGAGGTTCACTTCATCCACATAACTTCTCTTTTTACCTTTGGCCATAAAATCCTAAATTGTTGTAGGAAACCTTCACATTCAGTTTGTCAGATATTTTCAAGACGTCTCCTTTGCCTTGTTGATCATTACATTTTTCCTCTCTTGGTGTACATTAGTTTGAATTCTTTACATAGCTCAATGATAATCTGTTATTCTGCTGCAGAAAAACACACCATATAGGTTTTTGTGTCTTTTGGGGACATTGTATCCTCTTTTCTTGAATCTTGAATCTTTTCTACACGCAATTATTCTGGGCTGCATGCACGTGTCCAACACAAGGCTAGAATTAGTCATGATTAGACTTGACGGAATTGTATTACAGGAATGGCTTAAGCCTCAAGTGGAAGTTGAAGCTAATTCAAGCTGGACCTTTTCACTTGCACATGCTTTATCGTTGTTTTTGGTGATGATGTCCGACAAAAAAGCCTGCACTGGTTTTTCTAAGTCTCTCTAGATGTCATAATGAACATTAAGATCTGTTGGGATAGCCTGCCAGTGGCCGTTCAGGCCAACTATTCTGCAATAAAACTGCAAGGACAAATACAATTTCGAGACAGCTTCAGAGCAAACTTCTCTGCCTGTCCCTGGGCTCCAGGTGAGAGGATATGGAGCAGAAATAAACAAACTAGTTTGAGAAGCCTTTCCAGGCTATGGGGATGTAGCTCAAAAAGAGAAGAAATTCTGCAGATTTCTGAATGGTCTTGACCCGTCATTGAGAGCTAAATGTCACGATCAGGGGGCTACCGATTTGGAAGAGGCTCTGATTTTTTGCTGGTCGGTGTGAGATGGCCAGAGAGATTTTAAAAATGGACTTTGTCAACCCTCAAGTAAGCCACCTTCTGTGAGAAGATGGGAGAATTGAATGGAAAAACTTTCTCTTAGTGCGTGGAGATCGGTGTCATTGTGGCAATCAGGGCTGCCAGTCACGGTGCGAACAGGAACGGAGTGGACATTCCCCTGACTGTAGCTGGCGTGAACATGACACAGAGGGCGGCTCCAGAGAAAGACCAGACCATAATCGAGCCTTCTCCCCACACTGGGGGGCCCTGAGACCTGTCACGGGCCTCTTTAATGATGAAACACAGAGGCAGGGTGCGGTTTCTCTCCCCCAACAGAGAGGACTCAGTCAATCAGTCGGGAAAAGATATGTAGCTGATATTGCGGCCCAGACACCAGCTGCAACATCTATGGGCCCTTTGGAGAAAGATGTGATAAATTCCCACACAGGTGATACAGTACAATTCAAAGAAAAAAAGAACCTCATATGTGAAAGGATGCATTGAAGGGACTGAAGTCAAACATATTGGTGTATTCTGGAGCAACAGAGTCATTCATCAGTGCTGATTTCTGCATGTCTGTCCCAGCAAAGACGGCTCCTGAACCCTGGATTTTGCCCATGGCAGACTGCATATTGAGGAAAACGGGGAAGAGAGGAGAGATGGGTGGAAAAAGGGGGAGAGAAGAGAGAGAGAGCCACAACAGCCAGAGACAAACCATTTGCTTTTCGGCATCTTTTATTTTCACTTAAACTAACATGAATTCAACCAACTTAACATAAAGTGGCAAGCAGTTCCTGTTGATGTGGCAAGCAGTTCCTGTTGATATGGCAGCTCAGCTCTGTACAGTCTCTTGAGTCTTTCTTAATGAGTCTCTCTCATTTGTCTCCCTGTGCTGCCTTTCGAATCCAGGCAGAGTTATTTGGCCAACTAATCTCAGCTGTGCCAATCAACTCTCCCTGGTTCACCTGGAGGTGCTCTCTTAGCCCCCTCGACATATTAATAATAATAACTAGACTTGTAAGCAAGTATGCCATGCAACAGTGGGGAAGTGAAGCTGTGTCCTGTCAACGTGCCCACTAAAAGGCACTTGCTTTGAAATTTGAACCAGAGGGACTACTTACAGTTTCCAGTAGGTGGCGTTCATGTTGTGACTATCATTGTTCATGTCAAGTTAAGGCAGATTGGAGCATGTGGAGTGACGTTACAACCACTTCTGTTTGTCGGTGTTCCATCAAAGGTCATGCCATCGCTGTTCAATATAAAGGTTTAAGTGACACAACCATAGGACACAACATGGCGTCACCAGTGTCTCAAGGCTGCATCAAATTTCATGTCCACGCTAAGGACATGCCCCCTCATGAAAACTTTTCCTGTTACAGATAGGAGGCACTATGACTCCTATCATAAGGATGTGTTCAGGACAGGGCCTGTGTACTACAAGTTTGAGCCAGATTAGACAATATCCATAGATGTTATAAACCCTTTCTGTTTTCTGGCGACTCACCATGCTACGGCCACGCCCCCTGAAGAAAACTCACCAAAAACATAATTTTTAATCGAACAGTCCCTAACATGACATATAACAAATTTGAAGTTGATCACATGAATCTACATTTGGAAACACCAAAGATCCCATGAAATCAATCCAAAATGGCTTCCTGTTGGGTCTGGGAAAGAGTGGCAAGAGGATTTTTGGTGTGTCTTAGCATGATACACATTCCTTTAGAAACATTAAAACTCAGGTGAAAAATAATTTTCTCTGTGACTTAGAAGGCGCAATTGGCTTATACATACATATTGAATATACAGTCACCGGTCACTTTATTAGGTACACTGGGTACCGGGTTGGACCCCCTTTGCCTTAAGAACTGCCTTAATTCTTAGTAGCATAGATTCAACAAGGTGTTAGAAACATTCCTCCGAGATTTTGGTACATATTGACATGATAGCATCACGCAGTTGCTGCAGATTTGTCGGCTGCACATCCATGATGCAAATCTTCTGTTCCACCACATCCCAAAGGTGCTCTATTGGATTGAGATCTGGTGATTGTGGAGGCCATTGGACTCATTGTCAGGTTCAAGACACCAGTTTGAGGTGATGTGAGCTTTGTGAGATGATGCATTAACCTGCTGGAAGTAGCCATCAGAAGATGGGTACACTGTGATGATAAAGGGATGGACATGGTCAGCAACAATACTCAGGTAGGCTGTGGTATTTAAACAATGCTCAATTAGTACTAAAGGGCCCAAAGTGCACCAAGAAAATATCCCCCACACCAGGCAGGATGGATCTCATGTTGTTTACACCAAATTCTGACCCTACCATCTGAATGTTGCAGCTGAAATCGATACTTAAACTTCCTTTATTTATCCCACAATGGGAAATTCTTTTTACACTCATTTTACACTTTTTACACATGCATTTCAAACCCACAACCCCCCACACACACACACAGAGGGCTCAAAGACATGCACATTTTTGGAGAGAGATTGTAGAGTAGAGTAGGGTGATGGGCAGCCCCAGGAGAAGCGCCCCGTGAGCAATTGGGGGGCATGGTGCCCTGCTCAAGGTGAACTGACGCCTCTCCAGCTACCCGTCCACCTTCCATGCCCATGGTCCATGCTGGACTTGAACTGGCCACCCTCCAGTTCCCAAGCCAAATCCCTATGGACTGAGCCACTGCTGCCCCCATCATACTCATCAGCCTGTGCGAATTGTAGCCTCAGTTTCCTATTCTCAGCTGACAGGAGTGGCACCCGGTGTGGTCTTCTGCTGCTGTAGCCCATCCTCTTCAAGGTTCGACGTGTTGTGCGTTCAGAGATTGTATTCTGCATACCTTGGTTGTAACAAGTGGTTATTTGAATTACTGTTGCCTTTCTATCATCCACATCCACTCTGCCCATTCTCTGACATCGACAAGGCATTTTTGTCCACACAACTGCTGCTCACTGGATATTTCTCTTTTTTGGACCATTCTCTATAAACCCAAAAGATGGTTGTGCGTGAAAATCCCAGTAGATCAGTAGTTTTTGAAATACTCAACACCAACAACCATGCCACGTTCAAAGTTACTTAAATCCCCTTTCTTCCCCATTCTGATGCTCGGTTTGAACTTCAGCAAGTCGTCTTCACCATGTCTAGATACCTTAATGCTGAGTTGCTGCTCTGTGATTGGCTGATTAGCTATTCGTGCTAATAAGCAATTGAACAGGTGTGCCTAATAAAGTGGCCGGTGAGTGTAGATACATAGATGAAAACATGTTTAACACTACGACGGTTGCATTAAGATTATTTTGTAAACTTATCACACTTCAGGATCTCTCTCTCTCTCTCTCTTTCTCTCTCTCTCTCTCTGTCTCTGTCTCTGTTTGTGTTGTAGTTGGAGAGTCTGAACCAAAGTGAGTTAGCATCACGGCTAACACTCAACTGTCAAAACTCTTATGTGGAACCTCACAAAATAAAAGAAGTTGCTGTTACCATTATAGATGTAAGTAAAATGAAGTCTACAAGTACCAGTTCAGGTCTGTTTCTACTACTATAACCTGATTAATATTTTTTCTCTATGAATGTTGTTCAGGTGTTCGATCAGAGTGCTCTGTCTCTTGAGGCCAAGGAGGAGATGTATAAACTGTATCCCAATGCAAGACGAGCTCATCTGAAAACAGGAGGAAACTTCCCGTACCTGTGTAGGAGTGCAGAGGTCAACCTCTACATACAGGTTGAGTCAATTCCCTTCAGCATACAAGTTGAGACTGTTCCTCATACATACATACATTTATTTTATTATAAAAAATATTTTAAGTTGCTTGATGTTTTATTTAAAGAATCAAAGAAATAAAAATATAAACACGTAAATTGGGTGACATGTTTACTAATTTTCATGAACACACACAACAGTTTTTAGTGCCCTTAGTTATGGTATGAAAGGCAGAAGTTGCGCTGACCAGAGTGTGAACTGGAAAAACCTTTTGATTTAAAAAGTGAACTGTAGTCATTTGAATGACTGTTCAGTCCTGTGTGGAATAATAATAATGAAATGACCAAAGTATTCTTCACCAGTTTGAGCATCTGTGTGCCAAATCATAATATACATAATATCAAGGCACTTTACATAGAAAGTCAAGACCTGAAAACTGTATAGAGAAACCCAACAGTTCCCACAATGAGCAAGCTCTGTGGCGACTCTTGAGAAAAAAAAACTCCCTTTGGAAGAAACCTCTAGCAGAACTAGACTCAATGTTGGCGGACATCTGCCTCGACAGGTTGGGGTGCCCAGAGTATTGGGGAGGAGAGGATAGAGGGGAGAGAAGAGAGAGATGGGGTGGAGAGAGACCAGGAACTCCATCAGGTTTAGCTCTGACTAGTTATAATGAAAACAATAAGAGTGTTATAATGTTATTAATGATATCAGCAACAATTCATAATAATTTAATAATAAGTATTATTGTTAATAATAATGATAACAACAATAATAATAACACTAATTGTTGATATCTGGAGTCACAGATACCTGCAAAGAGAGAGAGAGAGAGCGAGAGAGACTATGGGAGGAAAAAGACATATAGTTAGTGACATGATGGATGGATGACCCACTCTAACTGAGCCACAGCTAGAGAGTGTGTCCAATTGCTCCATCAGTGTATGACTCTCCATGTAAAGTAATCTGCGTACTAGTCTTTAGAAATTAAATATAGTGCTGTTGTCTTGATGAGCGGAAGTTTTGTAAACTACAGTGACAGCTTGTTCCTAAGTACTGAACACAAGCATATGTGCTAAATGTGCTGTAAATCCACAGATAATAAAGCTAAAAATATCTTATAGAAAAAGTAACTACTTGCACCCATGCAGTAGGCATCCATGCTGAAGACTTGTCAGGAGCTGCATTGACAAACTTTTACTAGATTATTTCCAACAAACATTAACTCTTTAAACCACTGAATCATAAAGAATCCTGACTTTTATGGGTTTTTTTATATTCTGAATGACCCTTCCTGACTCACTGATTCTGTAGCACTTTCTGTCTACTATGAAGTTTTGTTTTAACTGATTTGTCTTGACTTTTTAAATCACTTGTTTATGTTCAGATTCACCTTCGTCAGTTCCACGGAACAAGATATGCTGCTATCAATCATGACATGGTGAGCGCTGAGGAGCTGGAGGTGCAGAAGAGTCACCTGAGCAGTAACCAAGACTCTGAAGATGTCCAATGAGACCTTTAGGATGTTTTTTTCCTTATAAATATTTCCAGCAATTTCTCTCTCAATGCACAGATTGTTCTCCAGTTTTTTTTACAGAACTCAATATTTAACCATCAAGTCAACTGAAATATTTTTATTTCACAGATGAAGCATATTTTGATAATGAGTACTTGCCTTATGTGGACTTACACTTGTTGTATTCATATATTTCCTGAACTGGTTTGTGTGTAAAATACATATTGTGGTTAACAGTGCCAGCAGTGAAACGGTTTAACAGGAAAATTAAACACATTTAAAATGCAGATATGTATATCCGAAATCTCTGTTTAAATCAGTGACACAAATTGTTCCCATTCATTTTGCACCTTAACAGTAAAAATCAGAATTTCACACGTTGTGCAGTTGTTGTTATTTCCAAAGAAATTAGCTGATTTATGTTTGTCAGACTGGTTGTTATAATGAATATAATTAATGTGATACAGATGTAATATTATTGACATATCTGTTCAGGCTGGAATTACAACAACTTCATTTTCATGCTGTTCAGTAGGTGGTGCTATGACCCAGACATGGGGACTCGAGTTTGCGACTCGGACTCGAGTCACACTTAAGTCGCACACACAGAGACTTGATACTTGACTTGGACTCCTGCTCAAAAGACTTCGGACTCGTGTTTTGGGACTCATGAACAATCATTATGTTTTCTATTTTTGGTGTAACATTGAGGAAACTCTTTTCATGGTAACCATGGTAACAATATTACACAGGCGTGCGCCTCTCGCACTATCTCAGAAAAGGGTAACACCATGGTGATTAGAT